TGCACTCCAGTTAGTGAAGAAGAGAATTTGACGCAGCTCTTTACAAATGGCTTGTAAATATTATTCTAGTACATGTGGAAGTTGTACCTCCCAAAGTCAGAAAACCTGTTTTTCCACAAGCTAGGATAGAGAATGACAGTAATCCAAAACACATGGGACTGAACTAGCTTTTCGTCTTTAAAAGAATGCTAGGCAGTGTTCAGCTGATTAGTCAGGTTACATACTCATACTTTTAGGACTATACCCCAAATTCTGAAAGGTATATACACGCCATGGCAGTAAACAACAAAATACTAAATTTTCAAATCTCTATTTAAGATATAGATGAAGCTGTAGTAAGCATGACGCTCTGTTTATGGCTCAATCAGCTATGACACTAGCTGTAATCCAAAATTATGCTTTCCTAGGCATGCATATTATTACAATGGTAAAATAAAAGATATAATAAGAATTAAAAATATAAAATATAATATAAAATAAAATATAAGATATAATAAGAATATAAACTATATTCTTTCAAGAATGTAACTATCTGCCTTTCCATAAACCACTGTAACATTTTATCTGCTTCACTGACTGCTACACACTTGATTTTCAAACAAAACTGTCTAATATAAACAGCAATCTACCTTGCCAGCAATATGCCTTGCCACCTCCAATTCACCAAAAACAGAAAAATAACAACTTTCGTTATTATTATATTATATATATCATGGTGACTATGAATCAACTCATACCATGAAGTGGGACCAGTATTAATTACCTAATTTTGGTCCTACCAATATAAGTAGTAAGTTGGAGGAAATTTAGATGTACCTCAGCACTAGCATAAAAGGAGAGAGTTGCTAAAGGTTACATGAGCCAAGTCAGTCAGTCCTTGTTGGTGTTATATAGACAAGATTCAAATAGCGTGTCTGAATTTTTTTCAGTTGGTTCATTTGATTACATTACAATATCAATGTAATGTTATTACATTATCATTGTTATGATATAACATCATAATAATGTATGTTATTACAGTATTGTACATTATCATATGTAATGTCTTTTAAAAATCCTCGTATAGCTGTACTGAACTTGAATTACAGAGGAAAAACACTATTTCTGCTCTTCTAATCAGGATTAGATCCTTATTTAATGCCATTCCAAGCCGATGGCGTTCCACAACAGTCTGTACAGTTTTTTCAAGTGACATAATGCCTTCCCCAAGCAACCTACTGAAAAACAGGACAGCTATCTTTGCGCTTTTCTGAGGAACCAGACAGTGGTGCCAGCACCCCCTCTGAATTCTTTAGGCACTGAAATCTTTTGGCACAAAAATATTCATAGCAGAAGTTTAAACAGCAGCATAAGATATAGCCAAAAGGGTGTCTGGACTCTAAAGTACTACGCTTGAAACACAGTATTTTCTTGTTTATGAAATAGTTTTAAGATTTGGAACAGAATATACAGAGAAATATATAACCGGGAGCATTTAATTTTTATTTCTAATTTCCATTAAGCAGAATTTTGCATTTTTAGATTTGTTTATACACTTCTATTTATTTTTCTACCTAGTGGGTTTGTTTGTCTTACGATAGTGTCTGTGAGACATTTTAAAAGAACAAAAAAACATGAATCGATGCACGGGGAACAAAGGAGGGAGACTAGCAAAGAGCGAAAGCTGTCCTGTACTCTTGATTCTTTATATTGCTGCATCTATCACAATGATGTCTCTTTTCCCTCTCCAATAAACTAACAGCTGAAAGATACAGGCTCCTATTCGGAAAAAAGATTCAAGGGGCAGATGCCAATGGGATTTAAGAACAAATTTTGACAAACTAGTACCACTGTGATAAAACAAAGTTATCAGAAACTCAGGCATACACTGCTTAACAGCAGTTCTGCTATTGCTACAGGCAAAGCGTGCAATCTTTTGGCTTCCTACGCTCACAGTTACAGGCTGTCTCAAGAAAACACTATAAAATGTAATATTTAACTTCAGTTGTGTATAATTAAACAAGTCTTACATTACAACGAAAACTGACAAGACAATTTCAGCTCCTAGCTGAATCTTCTGTTTACCAATACTATTAATAACGTTTTAAATTACAAAATAAGAAAAAGCCTCAAAATTCAGTCCTTGGCTGGAACTTCCTTGTTCACGTACTGACTCTTTCTTTAGTATTTTTTGGAAAAATAGATGTTGAATGACAGTCAGTCAATGTCAGCCAATAACAGCTGTAACATTAACAATGCTTTAGAGCACTAGATTCCTATGCGTTTTCACTCAAGTTACTGTGTCATGTTTAAAAATCTCCACAATAGCCCTTTGATGTTACTATCACTTAGGGTAACAAAAAGAACCCTCAGGATTTCCACTATCAGTTTTGCTTCAAAACACAGCACGTATGAACTTGTGTATGAGTTGGTGGCTTCAAATCAATCAGTAAATCCTCCTGAATTTCAATGCCTCCGGCTTTCAGTTCAGTTTAACTTGTCTACTACAAAGAATAAAAAAAATTATCTCATTACTCCTACATAATACAAGTGTTTGATTTATACAGGGGTGTAAGTTTTAGAGGCAACTCTCTTCAAGGGCTCAAAAGTCTTGATACTCAGGTTGTTTAAAAATTACTTTAGGGTTTTCAACTGTTCTCTCAACTTGAAACTGGATTTTTGCTCCAGATTTCAGTTTGCCTTAACATACCGTGCTGAAAACTGTGGACGTTCAGAAGCCAGTTTTCAAAGTGATTGGATATCCTTGACTTCGGGGTGCCAATGTCTGCCAGAGAAACAGGGAATATGGCAAGAGGAGGAAAGAGCAACAGATACCCAATTCGAAACCTCTACTATATGTCTGACAGAGCTGTAAACCTTCCAACTCTGCTTTACAGCTTTGAATCCACTGCAACATGACACGAGATATTCAATTATCATCCAAGCTGCTTCAGTAGGCTCAGCCCATGTTTAAATAAACAAATATCCGCATTAACAAAAGCCCCCACACAGGAGAGTAATTAGCTAAGTGTTGAATAATCAATGCGGCATTGCCATTAAGCTATCTGCTATACACTCTGCTACTGAAATGGCAGCAGAGTGAAAGCTCGCCATACATGTGTCCACATTGCAGTTTTCTGTGGAAAGGGAGCTTTCCAGACTCCTTTGCAGGTTGATTTAAA